ATGCTACATTCCTCTAACGAGTTTGGTCCCTCTACTTTGGAGAGCTTCAAGTACGTCGACGTCGTGCAAGCGTCAGGGACGCAAGATGGTTAGCATTTATAGGCAAACCTGACTTTCTTTTTACTTACGGTCTTTAAGCTCGGAATGGCCGAGGTCCACCTCAAGTGAACCGAAGCCTCAATAGAGGTTGCTTGTAGCAACCCAAGCACCAGCGGATTCTCCAATTCCACCTTTGAATTCGTTTCCGCTGTATCAAGCGTTGCTCGCGGATCTCAGTGGCATAGTGCTCATGGTGTCAACCATGAGGCACTAGGCTCTGAGTTCCAGCCCAACTCAGGCTATCTCCAACTGATGAGTCCTAACCAGGACGAAACCGCGGTCTTGGGGTGTCCGTGTTGGGATGAGCAACACTATAAAAGGTTTCTTTTTACTTACGATCTTTAAGATCGGAATGGCCGATGTCCACCTCAAGTGAACCGAAGCCTCAATAGAGGTGTTTGTAGCAACCCAAGCACCAGCGGATTCTCTAAGTCCACCTTTCAAAACTGACTTTTTTCATCCAATCATATAGTCTTCGTTCACCTTCGCAACATGGCTTCTTAAAGTCTCATTCGTGCATAGCGTGCCAAAATGCTTTCATAGATAATCTCACCAGTGATTGATTCTGGATTACAGGAACTTTTCCTTTATCTTGACATGCGAAAGGAGTCCAATCGAGTCACGTACAAAAGAATATCATACAAACTGAGTAGCTATGGCATATTAAATAAACTTTATGCCTAAAATAAATACTGTATGAAAAAACGCTGGAAGAAAATCAACATATATGGGTTCATGTCTACGCAACTAAAAGTTACTCCTGGCATAGTTCAAGTCAGCGTACTATAGCATTTCCCGCGAAGTTACATAAAAGGTCCAAAATTTTGCAAGAAAATCCCAAACTGCAAAGAAAGTCCAAAATGATGTAAAACCCTGTGCAATTCATCAGCCGCTCAGAGCCAATCTTCTGACCTTAAGTGCGTTCGCATTGGCCGGATGCCAAGTTTCGGTGCGTTAGTCTGGGGAGGTGAGCGCGCTGCTCGTTGACTGGGTGAGACTTGTGAATGAACCTTAGGGGAATGCACTTCGACGGTGCAACGGGCTTGTATGCGCCCCCAGCAGGTCCGAAACGATGCATCACAATTGGTCTGAGCGAAATGAACAGTTGGAACTTAAGCGCACGACCGAAACCATGCCTATGATTCTGACGTTGTCGTTATACCTTCGCGCGTTCGACAGCGTATATCATCAGATATTCGTGACCGAGTTTTGGGCGCTTTCATCAACGGTGATGACTGGCAGTTTGTGGCAACTGTGAACAACATCAAATATCAAACAGCCTACTCTTGGATTCGTTGTTCTCTTAGTCAGGAGCCGAGTACTACTCAGGCGTGCGGTCGTAAGCGGATTTTGTCGGAGGAAGACGTAGATGACATCCTGGATTGGATCGCAAGGGACTCAACTCTTACGCTACGGGAAATGCGAGTACGATTACGAGCAGAAATGGACAAGGACATTTCGAAGCCAACAATCGCACGGCACCTACCTGGTCGATTGATAACTATGAAGAACATCTATCAGATTCCCGAGGGAATGAACAATGAACGAAACAAAGGGATACGCAGGGAATTCGTTCAGCAGTTTCTTCAGTTTGAGAGCGATGGCAAGTTCTTCATTTGGATTGACGAAGCAAACTTTAACGCTTACTGCAAACGTACTCTAGGTGGGGCGCCCAGAGGAGTGAGGGTTTGTTGCAAAATTGCCAACAACAGAGGGCACAATTTGCATTTGATCGGTGCACTCATGATGGAAGGGAAAGTGTCGATAACCACCCGGAGATGTTCATTCACAGGTCCCCTATCTCTCGAATGGTTGCGAAGCTATTTAGACAACCTGAAACTGGAGATGGAGCTCCGGCAGCTGGTGGTAGTGTGTGATAATGCATCATGTCACACACGACTGGAAGAACTGTCGTCAGTAGATGGATACGATGGAGTAACCATACTGAGATTGAGCCCATACTCTCCGTTCCTCAATTTGATCGAAAAATGTTTGGCAAGTAATGAAGGCCAGAGTGAAGAATGAGATGAGAGTGCACTACGAGTAACGTCTGGCCGGGGATCTCCAGAAACACATGACGCTTATGGAATGGAGGCTGCAGTTCCTTGAACGCATTACCAAAGCAGCCAACAGGGATATCAGTGTTGTTGGATGTCGTAATGCTATTCGACTTATGCGTGTACATTTCGCTAATTGTCTAGAAAAAATGACATGTTTTGATCCCGTTGCTGGCCTATTTTTTACGTATCTGTTTGTATAGCACGTCCTTGACAGCGCGTAGGGATCTGTGAGTATTCCCGGTGATTATAAAATATGTTTGCACATATGTATGTTTGTGTAGTCTTACGATTGTTGAAGCGATAGCTGATGTCTAGTGCAAGGGAGTGACGTGTGACCGGCGTTCGATGAGCGATGCCCGGGTGATATGTTCAACTTATGGTCCTTTTCGTGCTGGTATTCGCTGCGCCGTACTCTTTCATGATCAGGCTGAGATAATGTAGATAGTTTTTTTCGGAAAACTAGGATGTTTGGAAAGCGCTTTGTAGGACTAAGTGAGCTTACCGAGTGAACCAACAGTCAGATATATCACAGTATGGTTTAACAGCTTGAATAGTTGAATAGTAGTGAATAAGGAACTACTACGCACGCCAAATCAAGCTTTTTCAAGAGTGAGAAGAACTGATAGACGTGAGTTCGCAAACACGTCCATTGCCAGACAAGATGTCGTCATTGAAGCTGAACAAATGAATCGCGTAATTAATAGAAACTGTCACTGTGCGATGTTTGTCCGCTGTATTGGAGTGCACTGTCGCGTTAATTCCTTACCCGATTGGAAGTTGGTCAGTCAAGTTCGGAACGCACATCAGCCGGTTCGGAAGCTGTACTTTAGATTTAAAAACAACCATTCCTACAGCAAGCCCAATTTAATTTGTGTGCCAGGGATGCCCGAATAGCTGTCCAGTACGACGTGGAGACTGGCTTGATTGTTCGGATGATTTCTGGTTTGACCGAATAGCGTGCGTACACAAATGGACATGTATTTGGCGTGGATACAGTGGCGTAGCAACTACTTTTGCTGTCCATGGTGGACGTAGAAATGCTGCAGCTCTCGTAGTTGTAAAGTCCGCAAATAAAAATTGCGCACCCAAGTCGTGTTGAGAGATATATGTGCCGTACATTATCCGATTGCTTTGCAGTGGATAGTGAACTGCGCTTGACAACACCTATTAACTTATTCGCGATGGTCGTTTGACGTCCCCATGGCTAAGTAGTTTCAACTAAGGAGTAGCAAAAGTCGAGTTGCGAATTCGAGCCCTACCAGGGTCCGATGGATGGAATGCACATTGCTGACGATTTCCGAAATGATAAATGCACGTAAAGTACTCTTCCTGGCATGTGATGGCTGTCTTAGCCTAGATGTGGCGAATTTCAACCTCTACCACTCAACCTTACCTACTACTCCTCCGCAAAGGTCAGGTTATCTGTGAAAACGATCCTTTCGAGCTTTACTAGTCTGAGATCGCATAGATGCTCAACTGATCTCACTCTGTAAATTCTTATATAACCTGTACCACCAAGCTCAATTTGTGTCCATTTTACATTATTTTACCTTCTCCTACCCTCAGCTCATAGAATGCCAAAATTATTTGCCTATTTCTTTGTTTTATTACCATCATAACTCAAAACCTGTTCTCTGTTAGCAATCGATTCGCATCCAACAATATGTTATTTCTTTTTCTTGTCTCAGCCGGCCTACCAATAACGGGTGTTTTGATTGCGATGGATTTTGTGAAGGCATGAACTAAATGTTTTCCCCTTCCGCTGAGTTCGATTGGTCGTAATTGGCCATACTGCACCCATAACCGCAGGAATGCTACAAAATGCATTTTGATTAAATTTACAGCTATTTATTCTTTACAAAACTCCGGCCGAGATTCAAGCATTGCTTCTCCGGAATTCTCTGTGCCATAGCTGTTAACCGCAAATATTTTTCATTAAATTGTGACTGGACTATTTGAGTCATTCCATTTCGCCTTCTGTACTATATATTAAGTCACGCATTTGCTGCTGTGTTAAGGTGACGGATTGTGACTTCCTAGTAAATAATTTTAACCATGCAAGGCAAATCGCCATTGAGTCACTGACACAATTGCTTAGGAACTACGGTTCATTGTCATCTTGCCGACATACAAAATTAGTTCTATGCTCAAAATAGATGGGTGATGGAACGGGATGAGTTGCGAGGTCACCCATAACGTAGCATAAAAACAACTCTAGAATATGTTACACAGTTCATGGCGCACATGAGATTTCGCCACCCTCGCACACATGCAAACGGGTATAAAACTGTAGGGGAGACATTTTGAGGCAATAGCCTGCATGGTAGCATTTCCCCTGGGGAAAGTTCCGTGGAAGGCCGCATACCTACACTTCAACCTTTGTTTGAATCTGCATTTGCTACTGTTTCCATTTCCTTAACCTATTTAATACCTCCATACTGTCGACTATTTCAAAACCCATTTGATTCCATTGCACAACTAGTGAACAATTACACAGTCTCTACGATCTCGTTGTACAAACTGAGCAGTCCACTCAGTTAGACTTCGCCTAGCACCATCAATGGATATACCGTTTGTTTATTACTTATTGGATTTATTCCAGCTCTCCACTACGGGGACCTGAAATCACCATGGTTATTGATCTGCACCACTAGATAATAGTTTATGCCACTGAGACACCAGGGAGGACGGCAGGCCGGCATTAATTAAAAGTTAAATGTGATATGGTCTGACCCACATAAATATACATGGTTATGCATTTTGGAGAGCTGCCCTTACATTTTCACTTTCCTTCACGACAACCATCGTTTTTACTTATAGGTTGCAAAAGCTAAGTAATAAGTGCTTAATCCGATTTATTCTCATAGCTCAAACAAACCGTAGGTGAAGGTGTCATGGAATTACAGTTTCCAGATCTCACCGTGTAGGACCAAGGATATATATGAGGCAAATAATAAGCCCTCCGAAGATAGGTGGAGTGACAATGACAGCGGAACCTGGAAAATGGAATGAAAAGAATCGGATTATACTGACTGCACTATAAGACATGTCATAAAACGGACAGTAATCGGTAGAGTTAGTTAATCATTCACAAAAGGAATTACCAGGAGTGCAGACGGTTTTCTCCGAGTACTTCTCACTTTGCATAGTTAAGTACACATAGAAGAGTGCAAAATTACCATCACTTGCTGTTAAACCCCAAAGCTTCCGTTAACCTAACTTATTAAACTACCATCTGTCAGAGCCGCCAACTAGTTTCCAAGTAAATATACTTGACTTGCATACAGCGGATTCTGGTGATGTGTAGAGATAACTGTATTTGCGGAAACATATGCCATCAATTTAAAGTGGTGCGGAGTCGAAAGACCAGGTAAAATGTCCCCACATACGCGCATCTTTATCGGTCAAATGGTGTTTGTTATCCATGAATGCAGTGATTACTTCCCTACCTTCCCGGACGATGGGTTCGTCACCTGAAGAGAATGCTGACGCCGCTTGTTACCAATGCGTTTACTAGTTTTTCAGTCATTTATGTTTACCAAGCTTCTCATACATTTCAAGGCTACAACTTAGCGCGTCTTAATGCACAGCACTCGGAATTGGCAAGCCTCCATTCTTCAACGCTCCGGCTACTTCTTCGGACACACCGTTATTGATGTGGCCACGAATGTCCTGGTATGAACTCAGGTGGATGATGAAAATTTTATGATAGCGGTGTAAACTGTTTGAAAAACTAGGGGCGTTGTTTTTCACTTTTTGCTTCCGAGCACTAATTAATCAACAACGACTTGTTTATCTCTTGTTTTGTTGAGACATGTTACACAAGGCTACGTAAAAAGTATAGCGCTACACGCGTTATGTTGTATTTTGAACATAGGCAAAGGCAGAACTACTGTTCGGTGCAATACTTCCCAACGACTGTTTCGGAAAGTTCAAATAGAACTATTCTTTTTCTTCCGAATTGGATTGTCCAGATATGAACACGGGATCCCTATTCCCAAACCTTTACAAATTAGTGATTTGAACGTCTGCATTTCTGAACGCTAAAAGCTTTTGCATCGCACCAATAGCATATCCTCGACTCATCGAGGTCAAAGACTTTCATTTTGATAGACTGCCGATAAGTGAATTGATATCTTGAGACGTTTCCGCACGCTGCTGCAAAACTCCTTGTGTCAGAGCCTTTTTATTCTCATTGCAAAAAAAATTTATAAGTTGTCTACTGCTTTTTAGTTAGAAGTATGGGTTCGATTTGCTTGTCACTGTGGCAATCCACAGGACGCCTGCCAAGACAGAGGGACCACTGGTGGCTTGCGCTGCACCACCCACAGCTCCAGCCACACATCCCATTCCACTGCAAACCCGAAGGAATAAGACCGGGAGGCATGTGGATGGGAGCCACGTTTCATCAACGGAGCTGGCCCCCCACTCCTTCACAGACAAAAACAGGCACGCTGTAGTTGGGGTATCAAGCGCACACAAGGCGGTGGCTGGACCGTAGTCTGCTCCACACTGTGTGCAAAGAACCACTCTTCGAGCCTAGCACGACCACAATGACCGTGCACCTCCTCCGCCCCAGCAACGACTAATTGTCTCCTGGAGCCAGTATGGACGAGGTAGTGGGTAATAGACAAGTAGGCACCTTGTCAACATGCACATCAAGCGAAGCCATACCGGGGATGTTAAGCATAAGCCAATCACTTGAAATAACATTATCAAATAAAATATATATGTTAAAGAATACGGCTAAGCTGACATAACACTTCGATAAATTAGCATATGAACTAAGTTAGTAATCTGCGTTAAGTACAAAATATCCAGAAGTTATACAAAAAGTGTTACAAACGGGACAAACTTAACGAAGATAACCACCATTAGCATAAGCAACTGGCCCAATTAATAGAAGATAATTTAGGCAGGCAGAAAAAACCAAATAAAGTGAACTGAAATTTATCCAGCACAAAAGGACTTAGTTTAAGTGTAAGTTGGTTTAGCCCCACTGCGATGACAAAGTATCATGAATGCAACATCAGCCTCAGCATGGGGCATTAATTAGAAGTATAGAACAACGATAATGGCCTTTCACATTTTACTTCTTCTGCCTAGACCACGCGTCAAGTTTAGATTGATAATTTCACAGTTTACCGTTTCCCTATGGTGCGATGGAGTTAGTCTAAGATTCGTACCGGGGCTACCTACCTGATGTACGTCGTCGAAATCCTCGGTAGGAGAGCCAAATGTGTTTTAACGACAACAGTTCCAAAGTGATCCAGTTTTTAATGAGCCACTATGCAAATGCGACCATCCAGAAGCCATCAAGTGTATCACTGAGTATCGTATGCTATACATTTGACACGCACTCCCTCTGTGTCAAAGGGACTACACATTACGCGCGCGGTGAAGACGTCGTGTTGCTCAGAGAAATGCACTGAAAGATGTGGAGAATGCTATGCTGAGAGCAACGATCAAAGTCTGGGGGTTCGTGTCGACGCACAGATGCCTTCATCGCTACGAAAACGGACAGAAACCTTGTTGGTTGAGTCAAATAGAGGAAGATGCAGGACGGCCGTTGCAACAAGGAAACATTTACTGCACAGTTTATTATTCACCGTCCACAGGTACAATCAAAAGCTTCCCATTAGCAGAACATATTAGGTCAGCTTTATTGAGTGTGAGCTCCCGTCACTCAGTGTACAAAAATCAACTATATATAACACTAACTCTACCGTAGTAGCATGAAGTGTATTAGTCGATAACCCCTGTCCGCGCGGATGGACGCTTATTCGTCGCATTTGGGAGCAGTTATTGTTCACGAGCAGAGGCAAATCGTTAATAAGTTATACACTATCGTGATGCGTCCACATAACTTATCATTATAAGCCATTTAAACCACAGGTCTTCACATGTAAGTGTTTACTAGTTACGAAAGTCGTATTTGTAGCTGGAACAAGTGAACAATAAATTACCGCTGACTGACCGAATTTGGTGCTCCTGGCTGTCCCAATGAGGCTCATTTAAGACTCAGTTCGGTCACTTAGCCACTTTCGGTTTAGCACTACGACTTTAGTATTACGCAATCGCAATGAACAATAAACAACGACTTTACACCAGTTAAGTAGCAGAGCTTTGCAAGCCCCCTTCGGCCGTCTGGGGAATTGTCGAACAATATTAATAAAAATGTTGTTAGTACTTTTACTGTCAAAAGAATGGACTTTTCATCTTTAAAACTGCATCCCTACACTCCGTGTGGTTTCGCAAATCCCATATGCGACAAGTAATAAATCCAAGGTTTTTCTCGGCAGTTGGACAGATATATAGTGCTAAGTGAGAAAATGTAAGTGGCTGAGTGTATCGCCCACCCGACTTTTAAATGTGGTTTTTGTAGGTGTAGAAACGACCAGTTCGTGGAAAGCGTTCCAAGGATAACACACACAAATAGAAAAAAAACATTCTGCAGTACTCCAGATCGCAGTACGGTGAGTTCAAAATGCAGCTGTTTGTCCAAGACACTTGTGCGGTCGCGGAACCTGGCCCAACTGGTCGGCAGACATTAAAAAAAACTTGTTACGTTTGACCATCGCTGCCTTCACAGCTTAGCTGATATTTGGTGGGACCACAGCTTTAGCAAAGAGCGTGTTCGGCGTCGCGTATTTGATGCTGCAAGAGCGAGTGAACCGATAAGCACCGTTATATCACGCACCAGGCTCCGATGGCTGGACCGCGATTTGAGCACGCATGCGCACCTACTCTCCTGACGAGCATTGTTCGCGCGCTGGAGGTGTGGATGAAAGAATAAGGTGAGGTATTGAGTGATGACTTAGTTAAGAAGAATGATGACCATCACTTCGAGGTTGGCAACGATTAGGGTGTCTGGACTGCCGGACTAATGTCTGAAGGACGATGAACACGTTTGGATAGATACACTAGTTGAAACGGTGAAGGGCCGACTTCAATGTGGTTTGTGTTTTAATTGATTTCCCCTCCCCCACCCCTTTATTTTCTCCCTTTATGCACGTTCTCAGATCCAATGTGTAGTATGATATTTAGTATGAGCTTACTTTTACCTCTTGTATTCTCCAACATTTGAAATCACACCATTTATGTAAGGCGCACACTAACTGTTGGGTGTGTTTGATACTCAGTTGCAGAGTATTGATCAATGATAATGATAACGATGACAGGTTGTGTTCCAATGTGCTTCATTTGCCGCGTTACTATGATTCCACATCTGTCGACCTGACTGCTCTATTTGTGACGCATTTGCTAGTGTCAGCTAAGTCGAGAATGAGAGTAATTACTTTTGCTCCTTCGCGTTGACCACTGTTGATAGTGTAAAATATGCGTTCAAACGAGAACATACGGAGTTCCCCCAAAACTACTCTCAGATATTGTAGTGTCCAAATCCTGATCATCATCGATCAATCCAAAGCGTTATGTGATAGCTTTGCTCTTTGAAACTGGTATAGTAACGCTGACCATACCTTGGTTTATTGCGCAGCAACCATCCAACCTTTTGAATCAGTGACTGAAATTTACCTCTGTTCATGAAAATAGTAAACGAACTGAATATGCTGTGATTTTTAATTTGCTTTTTCGCACTGAATAACTGTTTATGGAATATAAACATCGTTTGCAAACATGACCCCGCAGCGTGTATTTGAGAACTACTTATGGTACAACAGTAACAATCAAATTGTATGACACGAAATACTTTGACAAATATTTAGTATGCAGCGGTACGTTTTGAGGTTCACGCATACAATTGATGGCGTTGGCGACGAGTGGATTGATTGCCGTTGTCTTAGTTAAATTACCATCCGTCTTTACACAGTCTCACCCTAATATTGAGGCTTTCGAATATACGCCCATCTAGAATAAATAAATACGAGGACAAAGCAATAAGTTCCCGGAATCGCAGTGCCCAGATAAGGTGGATGACTTGGCAAAACAGATGTCAGCTGTAATCCGTTCCGAACGTTGTTTAGCGGTTTAACTC